TTCATTGTTTTAACTGGACTGTAGGGTGTGCGAATCGTTGGTTTTATTGTGGCCGCCCACAGGCATCTCCTGTGAGATGGGCGGCCGTATAAATTAGAGCGAGAGGTGATTGATTGATTGATTGATTGATTGATTGATTGATTGACAGACAGACAGACAGACAGACAGACAGACAGACATAAACAGCAACAGGCCTACAGCTATATTCCTTGCAAGAAACCAGAAGGAGTCAGGGGGTGCCCTTTCCGGCTAATAAATTTTATTAAAATATTTTTACTTATAAAATAAAAATAGTTAATAATATTATAAATATTTTTATTTATTAAAATAAAATTTGTTAGTCAGAAAAGGCACGCCCCAACTCTTCCTGATTTTTTCCAATCATCGACTTACGCGGTTCTCCTCCTGCAGCATCCATACTTCTTGCATTACACCAGGTTGAAATTACTCACCGGCCACCAGGCGATGTTCCTTCCAGCCAGAAAGTAGCCACTCACGGTGTTCCTACTTGCCCGGCACGACGACTGCAAAGGACAAGAAAGAGCTGAACCAGGGAAGGGGCGAGATTCATTCAATCCTGCTTGGATTGCAAGCAGCGTCTTTTCAGACTCCCCCATCCCCTTTTCCTGCATCGCCTCCGTCTATAAATACACATCCTGCTTTCCAAACGCTTGGCTGAATCCCTAGTTTACCCCCCAAAATAAATTTATTTATTATTTATTATGTTTATTCTTTCTTTAATGGCCCCTGTTTCATTTTGTTGATTTTGTTTGATAGATCATTTTAGTTTGGGCTGTCTGTTTGATTTCATGTTTTTAGCCATTTTTATGTTTTTTCTAATTTTGTACACCGCCCAGAGTCTATTGGAGCGGGGCGGCCAATACTTTTAAATAAATAAATAGTAACTTGGTTAAACCGTACTTTGTATAATTTATTAGTCCATTCATTGCCCCAAGCCGGTTGTAGGTTTTTTAAACATTTACAGCAGACTGCCAGAGCATGTAAGTGGAACATCAGTGCACAGAGGCAGGAGAGCTCCAAATTCTCCATGGAGAGAGGCAACGGGAAAGAGAATTGCAGCCTTCGCACCCCAGAAACATCTGTCTGGCCCCTGGGGGATGTGAGTCAAGACAGATGGGATTCCCTAATGCCCTAATAAAACAGGCCCTCACTTTAGAAGTAAACTGGATTGCCCCGACATAGAACTACTGACCCATTGAATTTCAAATCACCCGAACCATACGTTTCCTAAATGACAGATTAACAACATTTCAATAAATTATATTATTACACAAGGCCACCAGCTAGGTCCTTTCTCTCTCCTCCCCCCTTTTTTTTAACATTAGGCTGCCAACTAGCTCTAATTAAAAAGAAATGTGATCTTGGGCATTTTCTTTCTCAATCCCAGGATTAAAACTGCCGCTTCAAAAAGAGGGGATGTCTCGGTGCCCGAGCACCCACAGAGCAACTACAGCTGCTATCAGTTGATACACCCTCCGAGTGAATTTGGCTTAAATACAAGGCTGCCATACCCATATGCCAACTGCCAGGTTCAAAAGGAAATACATCACCACCACCACCAGATCGGGCACGCCAAAGGGTGGCAGAGCAGCGGGCATTTCTGGGTGGGAATTGTTCTCCATGGACGCTGTATCTCGGCCCGAAGGGAAAGCAAGCCCGCCCGGGCTTCCTTCTGGTTGCTTCCAAGCCAGAGGGAATTGATCATTAAACCGCCAAGGGCTGGGATGCCCACGCCTTCCGGAGCTCGGAGGCTGCCCACTTGTCAGCTACAACAGCCTCAGGTTTCACCCGGGTTGGTGGGACTTCCAGCTGCAAGAGGGCCCAGAGGACCGGTCACCCTCTATGCGCCGAAGCCCAAGGTGGCCCAGCTCCCATTCACCCTGGCACGTCGGAGGGCTGCTATGGAAAGAGCAGGGGCTGCACCCCTCAGGACCATTCATCTGGCTGGAGTGAAGCTCCCCAAGCTTTCAGAAGACATCAGGGTGCCCTGGGAGAGGTCCTGACACCTCAACCAATTCTGGCTTCTTCATCGGGCAACTTCCGAGGGTGAACCATGCTTGACTGTGCCCAGCTGAGACCAGCTAAGAATGGGTAGGGGCTGCCCCCTGGTGGGGCTGCATTTGAGGAAAAGGTAAGCCTGTGTTTTAAAGAAGGACCATGAAGATGCTCACGTTACTTCTGAGCATCCCTCTTAGTACATTTTTTGGAGGGCCTTAAAAACGTGGCTCTTGGAAAAGGCACTGATTTATTCCTTCATTCGATCTGTAGGGAAGACTAAGATTGTGCGATCTCTGAATAGTGGCATATTGATTGTAATTGTACTGAGTTTGTTTTTGGTCTTATTAATACTCTAAAGCAGTGTTTCTCAACCTCAGCAACTTTAAGAGGGCAGGACTTCAACTCCCAGAATTCCCCAGCCAGCATGCCAAAACCCTGCTTCTAACAGCATGGCTGGCTGGGGAATTCTGGGAGTTGAAGTCCAGCCCTCTTAAAGTTGCTGAGGTTGAGAAACACTGCTGTAAAGTTTCAAAAAAAGACATGGCCAGTGAGGAACAGGTGCTCTTTTCACAGGCTGCATGTTTGCAACATGGGATCCACTCCTTTCATTTTCGACACCAAAGCCCCGCTCAGCCAATCTGACAATTCCTCCTTTTTCGTTGCAACCTCCCCGTCCGCCTCTCTTGCAAACATTGACACGTCTTGTTAATGCGTTAACCTTTTCCTTGGCTTGTGGCATCTGCTGGTGAGCAGTTCCGTTAAAGTCTAACCCTGGAGGGCTGGATGTCGCACCCCCTCTCTGCCGAGACACCCATAAGGGGTAGCAGATTGCAACCTTGCACCCTTGGGTGGCGATTTCACGGGTATTAAGGCGCTCCAAACTTCTGGTGTCCACAGATGTGAAGCGACACTGGGGAAGAGAGGAAGTGCAGCTGGAAAGCAAAGATGGAGAATTTCAGCAGATGCAAATGAAGCCCGTGAAGTGTTAATCAGAGAATAAAGATCTTTTAAAACAAGGAGGAAAGGATACACTAATTGATTTCCTTAGCACCGATTTCTGAATTCTTGTCAGATCCTTCGAAATTGGGCTGGCGTAATGCAGCTTAGGCGGCCTGTGAAGTCACTTCATTCCCATATTTCCGTATGGCATCCGGCAGCATTTCCTCTTCCGTGCAATCTGAGCTCAGCGCAAAGTCTTGCCAATCGAAATCCACCAGCTTTGCCCCCAGAAGAGCCCAGCACCTAACACCGGGCAGCTGAAGAACCGCAGAATCCCAAGCAACAGGGTTTCCTACCGCCCAAGGGTCACTTCCCTGCCGCTTTGCTGTTTTAGCCGGACAGTTCGAGTCCTTGCATGTCCAGAAAACCAACGTTCAGTCCCTGATGTGGACTAAACACGTAAGCCTGAACAATTGTTTTTGCATCAAACTGATCCAAACCGGGGGCGTTTATCTCTGCCTGCAAGGCCTAAACAAAATCGGGGGGTCTCTAGGAAAGCCCCCATTGCTTTGTTTTCAGGGGTTCTTTGAAACTCCTGCAGAGTTATCAGATGGCTCACTTTGCATCTCAAACCAAAAAAGGATCAGCAAAGGAGCCCCCCAGCCCCCCGTTTGCTGGATTACAATGTTCACCATTGCTGGGTTTAATGGCAGCAACCCTAGCAGACAGAAGGGAGAGGATGCTGAACCCCAAATTTCTCCTCTGTACTGCTGAGGAGTCAATACGACCGGCTCACTGGCAGCACGTTGCTTGCCAAGATCTGCCAAGGTTGGCTAAGTGAGGCCAAAGCGGATTAGTTCTCGGAAGGGAGGCCAACAAGAGACCCAAGGGCTGTAGGCAAGATTGAAAAGTCAAAAGAAACGTTCCAGAAAACAGGAAATGGCAAACCATTCCTGTATTGCTGGCATGGATGTATCTGTCCCCAGGACCTGAATTCAACTTGGAGGTCATGCTGGGCATCAAAGAAAGAGCAAGGAATTCACCAGGAACCCCGCTCAGCTAAGACAACACCCCAACACCCCAAAAAAGGGACAACTGAACAAACGTTTCCTAAGATGCTCGCGCAAAACCAAAGTCATTTATTTGTGGCAGAAAATAAATACCAGTGCACGTTCCTTATGTTTTTCCTATAAAAGCACGGTTACAAAAAATGTCACGGAACTGCGTACAACGGCGCGGCTTTCTTTTCTGGCTGGTCTCAGAGGATGCAAACTCTAAGCCGTAGCTACCATTCATATAACGACGCTTTGAAGCACTTGAAAGCAAGCTGGGAGGAGCGGGAAGGAACATTACGCCCAGCACAGGACACCTTTTCCTCCAATAGGCAGGGCAACATCTCTTGCGCGAGTCTCACGGGAAGATACACACAGTTGCACACGAGGGATGGAAACGAATGGAAGCGGCTGTTTTCACAAGACGAGCGCCGAGTCTGACATCGGTGCCTTTTTCTCAAGCTCTAGGGAGTGCAAGGCTCTTAATATTTGCTGGGACGACATAGTCTAGGAACAAGGGCTCCATGCCAACTGTGGACCCACGTTTGGAATAAATGCCCCCGAGGCACAATTCCTCCTGCCACCAGGACTGCCACCTCTTGCCCCCAAAAGAGGAAAATCATCAGCAGGATTCACTGCAAGGAAGCTGGAGCAGGAAAACTGCATGGGGCTCTCCCCGTCAAAATTGCGCAGCTAATCTAACAGCCTCTAGAACTATTTTGGGGGGGGGTACTTTTTGATAAAATCTTTTTTTTCCTCTCTCTCTCTCAAAAAAAAATCATAAAGAAAATAGCTCTGAGAATTTTATCAACTAAATTTAAACCATCAGAAAGAAGGGAAGGGAAGGGGGAGGAGCAATCTAATCAAAAATGGATTCCATTGAAATACAAAGTTTAAGCCACAAAGTTTCACAGCTGGGTTTCTGTCCATGTCCAGTTTGGCCCCTGAAAATAATCTTCTCTTCTTCAAGCCTCCCCAGGAAGCCGTCAGTCGTCTAGCCCTATGTTTCTGAAAAGGTACGACATGGACTCCCCATTATGGATTCTGCGGATGGCCTCCGAGAGGATCAGGCTGATGTCCACGGTCTTAATTTTGGGGCACTGCAGTTTTTGAATCTCGTGAGGAATGGTGTTTGTGACCACAACCTGGAACAAAGCAGAGATCACCCCCTTGCAAAGCTGGACAATGTGCCTTGGGGAGCATTTCATTTGGCCTAGGAATGGGTCACCAGGAATCAACAGAAAGAGGAGGGTGGGTTTTTTTTTTTTTAAGGATTTAATATAATTCATCCACTACATTTCAATCCTGCCTTGTCTCCAAGAGATCATGGGGCTTACAGAGGGCCCTTCCCTCCCCAAATAACTGAGGTGGGCTGAGCTGAGAGCAACTGCTTCAAAGACACCAGGATTAAACGCTCCATGATTAAACGGGTTAAACTTGAACCCTTCCCAATTCTTCCAAGGAAGGAGAGCACCAGCTAAACCAGCTGGGCAAACCTCTAGCAAGACTTGGGTTCAAATCATGACATGAGACCTCATGGGCCTCGTGCCTCGTGCCAGGCGCATCCCTCTCCATCAACCCTACCTCCGAGGTCTACGGTAAGATGGCTCCTTCTTGGGCACCCAGGCCCACAGATGACGCTGGAGCAGGAGGCTGGAGAACTGAACTAGCAGCCTGCCACGGCCATGCGGCTGTCTCCAATGGCCCAGCCTCAGGCCCAAATGCAGCCGTCTGGACCAACAGGCTCCCGCGTACCTCATCGATGGCAGACTCCTCTATCAACCGGGGGGCGTCAGAGGAGAGGAGGCCGTGGGTGGCCATGACAAAAATCTTATAGGCGCCCCTCTCTTTGAGGGTCTCTGCAGCTGCAAGGAAACTGTCCACGTCATCGATGATGTCATCCTGACCGAGGAGAGAGATGGGGACATCGTTAGAGGGGGCCAGGTGAGATTTCACTCAGGGCGCTTTTCCCCTTGCAAACAGGGTCGTGTTCCTCCAAGGCCTGTTCCCAAAGACAAAACTACCAGGGGGCTGCTCAGATGCGTGTCACACTTCCGGTTCCCCCTCCCTGACACAGCCCTTTAAGGAAAGGAAAGCTTGCCCCCCCCACCCCAGCCTCGGACGGTCTGGAGCTACGGCCGTTTTTTAATCCTGGTTTTAGTGTTGTTTTGGGGGCAGCAATTCAACACGCCGTGGTTCTTATCCTGGATCTTAACAGAGAATCACGGTGGATCTTAAAGTGAGAATGTGGGAGCTGAAGACTGAGCTGAGCTACCTAAAGAGGAAGGAAAGCGAGGCAGGGCTCAGGCAAACCCTCCTGGGTCCTCTGCAAAAGACATCACGCAGCTATCTAGGTACACAATACACACCTGGCAGGGGAGTCCAAAGGCTGGACCTGAAGCCATCAAAATGGCAGCCATGATGGCACAATCAAGCACTACCGGTTTTTTAAGCGGCACCCCACGGGAGGACCTTCAATCACATCACTGCACCTGCCATCTTGACTTTTCTGACTGCACCCCGCGGGCACCCCTGCCGCCTCAGGTTAGGAGGGCAAGCAAAAGGACCAAAGAATACAGAAGGAAGCTTAGCCTGGCTCCCAACAACACCCGTGAGCAGACAAGCCAGGATGGGAGCCGCTAACCAGGAAGCAGCCGCCTCGCTTTCTACCGACAGGTCAAATTTGACAAAGAGAAATACTGTTTTTCACATCAAGCCGGAGGTTCATCCCGAACTCCTTTGGCAAATGTTTCTTTACACGGTCCCTATTTCTGTCCAGGAAGCCTTCGAACCGCGTGGGCCTCCAGGCCATGACAGTGACCTACCACAATGATGGCTATTCTTCCCCCGACATCTCCAACCACAGTGATGGGCGGTTTCTCTTTCGGAATCAGCACTGACAAAAAAGGGAAAAATACGAGAGGAGACGGATTGGCGATTCCCGTCTCTTTATCCTTTCCCATCCAAACTGGGTGCGGTTTCCCCCCGAAATCCCCCCCGTGCCCTCTGGCCGTGCATTATAGCCTACTCGAGAGGAAGTCATCCGTGGGCAGGCGATGCTCCCTCAGACGGGCAGACCCCCCGCATGAGGCTACTTACTGGGTATCTCTAGGCTGGGGTGAATGGCGGCAGCGCTTTTGGCAGTCGGGGGGGAATGGCGCCCGTCCACCAGGTCAGACTCGGCATCCTGAGCCTCTCCGTGGATCACGGCGATGCCCAGCCTCAGGCGCTCGGCAAACGACTGCGCCCTGCCGAGAAGGACGACCGGCCCGTCAGACCCTCGGCGCAGACCCAGGCGCGAGGAGAGGGACACCCAAGCGCCACACGCAGAAACGCCTCTTGTGCCTTGGGGGAGAGACCCCGATCCCCTACGGAACTGCAGGAAAAAGCTATACGGATTTGGGGAGTCGGGGACCCACCCACCTCTTCGCAGACGCAGGAGATTTGGCCACAATCACAGCATTCCTGTAGTCCGGAATCTGAACAACGAAAAGCAGAACCACCGCACTCAAAGCTGGTCCTTTACCTTTATTCCAGACGGGCCATTTCAGGTGGCCCATATCATCTGTCCTACAGAGCTCAACCGCAAAACCGGGGCGCCTTCCTCTCCCCACCACATCTCACCCCAGTTCCAAGCTGCCAAGCACACAAGGCTTCCTTCCCAGGGCAGGTGAGGCTCCGGGACATCTAAGTCCTAGGGCAGTGTTTCTCAACCTTGGCAAGTCTAAGACGTGTGGACTTCAACTCCCAGAATTCCCCAG